CACTGCTTATAGCGCCCCCTAGGAACACATTGTTGAAGTGCACCATGAATACTTAAGTAAATTGCCTCACAATTCAGCCCTCCAATAAGGCTGCCAGGAGGGATGTATGTCTTTTGCTGAGAACTATCAAACCAGTCTATTACTACTGCATATAGTGCCCCCTAGGAACACATTGTTGAAGTGCACCGTGAATACTTATGCAAATAGCCTCACAATTCAGCCCTCCAATAAGGCTGCCAGGAGGGATGTATGCCTTTTGCTGAGAACTATTAAACCAGTCTATTACTACTGCTTATAGCGCCCCCTAGGAACACATTGTTGAAGTGCACCATGAATACTTAAGTAAATTGCCTCACAATTCAGCCCTCCAATAAGGCTGCCAGGAGGGATGTATGTCTTTTGCTGAGAACTATTAAACCAGTCTATTACTACTGCATATAGCGCCCCCTAGGAACACATTGTTGAAGTGCACCATGAACGAAACCTGTTAACTCTCCACCCCTCCTCCCTGCCACCAGAGCGGTGCATCCCGGAGCTCCAGACGTGTAACGGCGATAACGACTGCGGAGACTTCTCCGACGAGCGGCGGTGTGAACAGATCTTTGACGTGTGCGACGGGCAGGACTTCGACGCTATCCCCAACATCGAGTTCGCTGGCAGCGGGTGAGTTTCAACTAAAGTTCTGGTGGTAGGGTAAAAAGGGAATTCGAACTCCCAAGAAGGCTAGACAGGGAGAAGGACGATAGGGGGGGATAGGTAATGTTCTTTGGCAAAAGTAGATAGATATAGAAAACATAGGGAATAGGGTCAGTCCTGAAAAAAATAGGGCCGGTAGGTAGGGATTATATTTTCCTTTCCTTTTTTTTAGACTTTGGCGATCTCTAGTGATCCAACAAAGTAAAACTTGCATAATGAAGACACTTTCATTTCCAATGTCAATGTTGGAAAACTGATTGTGTTTCATCACTCAGTTGTCAGATCATGGAGCTAGAAAATAAAGGTCGAAATATTTATGTCCCTTGCAGCGGGCCACACAAAAAGAAGGCTAGGAGTAATATTCTGTATACTAGTATTGGAATGCTACTGCTATGCTCCGTTGCTGACGTCATGTTTCCATGGCGACAGGTATAACATCCTGACCGGAGAGGTTGCTGGGAAGGTTCTGGAGAACAGGCTGTACGGAGGCACGTGTAACACTGTCTACAGCGGGGACCACGGCAAGAGCTTCCGCCTGCCCGAAAACCTACAGAACTACCGCTTCCAGGTAAGCCTACAGGCCTAACATTTTATTTCATTTCATTTCATTTTGCGTTTACAGTCCCGTGTCTATGGCGTAATTCTATCAGCCCATGATGTGGAGAAACAAGCACGTCGGCAGAACGTACTGCACCTGCGCGAAACCCTGATTTTTTTCACGGTTTTCGTTGGATTTTTGGTCAACCTTGCATCAGGACTTTGCCTATTGCAGACGATATTTTTTCCGACTTAACATTTGGAAACTACAATCGGGATTTTAACCTTAGCTTACATGCACGAATACTGCATTACATGAGAAGTTCTACCGAAGTATGATAAGGAACTTGACTGATAACGGACTGATGATTTACTATTTATTTTTGTATTATATTTTGATTTGTATTTTGGTTTGATTTTGTATTATATTTTCGTTTGATTTGTAATCCGTGACCCCTCCCTCACCCTCGACCTTGTTGAAAAGCGGTCAGATGTATGTACCGAACAAGCTTTCGAGTTTAAATAAAGGCTTACTACTACTACTACTACTACTACAATACATTGCGAGTTTCTCGCAGGTGCAGTACGTTCTGCCGACGTGCTGATGCAGAGAAACATCGTGTTTGCGAAATTTCTTTATTGTACAAATACAAATAAATGAGTAAATGGAGGTGGTTCATTAAGATTACAATAGCAAAATCCGTCCATTTTTGGCACGAACCTACACAGGCCCATAGCGTATTGATACAGAGTCATTTTTATCGTTAGGTTCTGGCTGACAACTCCTTCGCCACCACGGCGTACAACAGCGCGGAGGAATACTACCGCGAGACGAGGAGCAACTCCCAGCGGAACGTCAAGGTGGGCGGGTCGGGCAGCTTCTTCGTGATCAAGGCGAGCGGCGGCGTGTCGCACAGCCAGTCCCGCATGACGCACGAAGTCATCGAGTCCGCGCAGAAAATAGACTCCAAATACTTTAAAGGTAAGCAGATACTTTCATTCATATCTGTTGCATTTTCAGATAAATTATTCAAATTAAGCTATAATACGTTTTTGATAGATGAATACTACAAATCTTAATACTACTGTTAGTGTCCTGTCCCCTACATGTATATAATGTTACGGTCCCAAAAGTAGTCGGTTATTAGAATAACCGACCACTTTTGAGGTTACGAAAAAATAAATGGAAAAAAAAAGGATTGGGAAATGGAGCCTTCTGATTGGTTGACGTCTCCTGGCTAAATGATATTACTTGTTAAATTTTGACTGAGTTGTGGGCTTGCTTCTCTTTAGCTGTCTGCTCTAATTCCTTCGGTTGCATGGTGGTTGGGAAGTGATTTTGACAGTTGATTGATAGGGACGTGGAATCCTGAAGGTGACCCAGCACCAACCGGGTGGTAGTAAGTGAGTGTATGGAGGAATTCAGGTCGTGGTGTAATACCGGATTGAATTACATCCCCTCCACCGTTCCAATGCATTCTCGAAAACCCAAAACACTTCCCGGAGCTCTGTGAACTTGGTCACGAAAAAAACCCACTAGCTTCACGAAAGTCTTAAATCTAAAATTTCTTGTTTTCATCGTGCGTCCCTTAAATCTGTGTTAACCATTCCTTTGTTAGGAAGTTCATGGCACTTATTTACATTTTGAATCCACAGTAATGAACACAGTTGAGCTGGCCCAGTTCAAAATGCGCAGAAGCGACCTGAACCCATCCGACATCTTCCTACGGCGCATGAAGGACCTACCTGTGTACTACAACTACCTGGACTACAGGTACAGGGTTCGAATCCCTCGAATGATTTCGATTTTAGAACTATCAGCTCTATATCGGTTGTGTTGCCTATCAAAAAAGATACATAAAGACCTTGATGATGCTTGATCTTACAGGCCTCTTGCAAGTATTCTGTGTTTTGCCTGCTCTTTTCTATAGCAATTTAGTCTCAACATTATAAGGTTCAGACACGCAGTTAGTAAATAAAACTTAAGAAAAAGAGTGCCACATTGTAACACAATATTTTTTTTAAGTTTCGGTATTTTGCCATTATATATTTCAGTTTCCTTATTGAAGACTTCGGCACGCACTACTTTTCCTCTGGGAGTCTGGGCGGACAGTATGAGTACGTGTACCGGTACAGTAGAGCCGACCTGTCACACTCTGGTGAGTATATGTTACTCTAGCACATGTTCTAATTTATACAGACATAGCGTAATAACAACTAGTAATACACAGCTTCATTAAAGCGATATTGTGTAAAATTTGCACTTTTTTAAACATCGTAGTTTTACAAATTTTCTTGTGCTATAAGCCTAAGTTCATAATCACATTTGGGGAGTAAAAGATCAACGTTGTTGCGCCGCAAAAATGTTTTGGAAGCTGCCGAAGATACCCGAAAGAAAACCGCTGTTTGTTTACATTCTTTTTAGGAGCCTCCTAAAAATACAGCGGGCCTGGCACAACTTATTCTCGCGCTGCACTGAGTCGCAGGAAAAGCGAAATAGTGACGCTAAGATGTTGGAAGTTATTGAAAATGACAATCTAAATGAGAAAATTTCAATTATCTATATTTACAGTTTGGCGCAAATATCTTACATGATAATATCGATTTAATACTCATAATGACTACTTAAGCTTATTTTCCCTTAGTCTGAGTACATGTATTAGATTTGCACACTGTAATCGTACAAAAATAAATGATGTGCGTTTTATGATATTATTTATTGAAAATCAACGTGTTTGTTTCAGGTCTGACCGAGGAGGAACAGAAATCGTGCCTGAGTGCCGAAGCTAAGGCCTCATTCTTCAGTTTCTCCGGCAGCAGCAGCGGCAGCAGGTGTAAAGAGAACGCGCTTTCCCAGAGGAACAGCGGTAAGAGACCCATGCATGTTGTCCATGAAAACTCAATCCCACTCAGTCCCATCAATCCATCGTGGGGTCGTGTGGCGTAGCGGCTGAGTGCGCGACTCGGAATTTAGAGTCCCGGGTTCGAGTCCTGACATGCCACCGATCTTGTGCCCTTGGGAAAGGCACTTTACACGGCTTTCCTCACTTAGCTCAGGTGTAAATGAGTATTGTCCTGTCATGTATTTGTCCCCTGTGTTGGTGGCGGCATTAATATAAGTTGAAAAAACTTGAGTGTGCCGTCACCACGTCTTGTGATTACATGTTGGAATTTAAAAAAATCAATCCGTCATAATCCGTTTGTTATAGGACACGATTAAAAAAAATAACGATTTTAAAAATATAGCAATATGATTCAAAAATCCTTTATTGATAGCTGTTATTTTTTAAATTGTGATAGATTTTAAAGATGTCAGATGTAAATTAGCATAATACTTCAGACTTAACTATGTAAGTCTGCTTTTTGCAAATAAAGTCATTGTCATTGTCAATGTCATTGTCACACAAAATATCCCAAAGTTCTTCATATCTGCCAGGAATATCCCAAATTTATTGATACCTGTCATGAATATCCCAAATGTAATGATACTTGTTAGGAATATCCCTATTTTGGTGATACTTGACGGGATTACGGAAAAGCTATCATGATAGAAAATGGAATGTAGGCCTGTCCTTGGTGCTGATTGCCATCCACTGCAGTGCACACATTATGCCTCGATCTAGCCTGTGTTAAAGCAAACTCGCTAGCGCTGTCAGTGGCTTTTTTTATTTAACAATTCACACTCAAGTTAAACTTATTTCATGCCGCTACTAACGCAGGGACAGGACAATACTCATTTTCACTCAAGTTAGTAAGGAAAGTCACGTTAAGTGCCTTTTCCAATTGCAAGGGCACAAAATCGGTGGCATGTCAGGACTCGAACCTGGGACCTCTTTGTTCTGAGTCTACAGTTACGCTACACGGCCCCAGCGGCTTTTAGAAGAACAGGATGACCACTTAAAAATACGCGACCATGATGCAGTATCTCATATTTGATTATCCCCATTCTACAGGAAGTTTCACGCTGTCGGCGTCCGAGTCCTTCTCCCACGTGAAGGGCGGCTCCTCTGAATCTGCCGGCCAGCTGGCCTTCGCCAACGGACCGAACCCGCAGAAGTACGAGGCGTGGATCCAGGACGTCAAGCGGAACCCCGCCATCATCAGCTACGAGGTACGACTGACAAACACGTTATGTTTTTTTTAAATTTTTTATTTATTATTTTTATTTATTTATTTTACTTATTTTTTTAATTTTAATTTATTTTTTATTTTATTTCGTTTTTATTTTTTTTAATTTTTTAAATTTTTTTTATATTTTGTGATAACGCTCTTCGTTTGTACCGAATTCATTTGTGATATTTCAGCAGCGACATCTAGCTGCAGTACGAACAGGAATAAGTCATTATTGTTGCCCTGAAGACGGATACACAGATTTTGCTATTCCTTAACCGGACGCCATAACCGCGCTCCCCTGGAACAACGAATATGTAGGCATTGTAATCTGAATAGGATAGAGGATGAGGAACACTTTGTATTAAAATGTAGTTTACACAACGAAGAGAGAGCTGAGCTTTAAAAACTATTGCAGTGTATGTTTCCCCATTTCATACATCTTAGCAACACAAATAAGTTCATATTTCTAATGGCTTTAGACAAACCTTCGATTATAAAACAATCTGTACTTATATCTACATCGTTACTAAGAAGCGAGAAGAAGCCAAATTATCGTAATTATTAGACTATATTCCATAGTACATAGAATTAGCACTAGCTTGTACATTGTATATATTCATTGCAAACTGTGACGTCTTCCCTGTTACCTGTACTGAACCCAGTGGGTATTTGCGTACAATAAAGATCTTCATTCATTCTTATAGATCACGCCCATTTCTGAGCTGGTGGTCGGCATCCCCTACGCGGACATCAAGCGACGTAACATGGAGAAGGCTCTGGTGGAGTACCTGCACTTCTACCACTCCTGCAAGTGTAACGCCTGTCAGAACAACGGCCAGGCCATCATGATCGGCACCGAATGTGTCTGCGTCTGCAAGGCGGGAACTTACGGCGTCTCCTGCGAGCTGGGAACACAGGTTGACAACGTCGGTAAGTACAGCACTAGTACGCTAAAAAGCCAGTTTCTCAAGCAACAAGATATTGTTTTGGAAACGGTCAGGCGTTTCAGACAGCATCCACTACCTTTCATCAGGGACACTGACCGTTTCCAAAATCATATCCAGTTACTTGATGAGTAACTGTTTTTTGGGGCGTATCTTATTACCTGGGTGTTTAACCTTCACCTACATCACTGTAGTACTTGTACACCTTAAATAATTGGATGTTCCTCAGACAACTACAGACGTTTCTGTTCTCTTCTGTATTTCACATTTTACTCATATTTCCTTAGCTTTGTGAATTGAATATTTGTGATTTAAGTTCCTTGATTTATGTTACAACGCCAAGGAAATATGAGTAAAAGGTGTATAGTAAGACAGAAAAAACGTCTGGCAGACATGTACACGCTGTGAAGTATAGGATGTTTTTCTAAGGCTATGAATGCTTGTGTCATAACACATGGGTACACTTAGAAAATGATAATTGTTTGAAAATATAAAGAAGGTGTCCTTATCGTGATTTTTTTCTGCGTTGTTTGTTTTGTTAGGCACTGCTGTTCACGGGAACTGGGCGTGCTGGGGATCCTGGGCGCCGTGCAGTAAGTCGTGCGGGTCAGGACAGCGGGTCCGCCGCCGAACCTGCAGTAACCCCACCCCCAGGAACAACGGCCAGACCTGCCCCGGTCAGGACTCCGAGACCGAGACCTGTAACTCCCAGCCATGCCTCAGTAAGTATTGTGTACAAATAGACCGATCCTGAATGTCCATCACAATTAGTTCAACCAATGAGAATGTCGGCAAGTATCGGTTCGACCAATGAGAGAGGTCCGTCAAATATTTGCATTTTTATGTTTCGGCGGAGTTTCAGGATCGGTCTACAGTCTTCATGAGTCTAGCACAATTCTCCTTTTTTTGGCTGATTCAGTTTTATTTAGTATTTACCATTGATTTTGTATACGCGAACACAGAATTTATGATATACAGACGTTTTCCTCGAAAATTCAATGTCTTATGCAGATACGTACACATATTGTTCTGTAATGGCTTTTCTACCGACATTTTGTATACATAACGTTTTTCTGTGTTTTATAAAAGATATACAATCCACACTTGTACATGGCTCTTTAAGACAAAGCACTACGTATACATCTTCGGTATTGTCTAAGTTTCACGTTGTCTCTTGTTTTCTCCGCAGCGCAATGCCAACCGGGGTACTACTCCCGTACAGGGTACGCGCCGTGCCGAGCATGTCCCCCGGGCGCCTTCCAGACCCTGCCCGGTCAGAAGACCTGCCTAGACTGCCCCCGCGGGAAAACCACCGGCCGCTCCGCAACGGTCCTGTTCGAACACTGTGTTGAAGGTTAATATACCTTTCTCACAACTACCCAAACCACCCACTAAATCATTAATAAACCCCCATTAAAACCCCAATAGAGTCCACCCCTCTAGATCCCAATAAAATCACGTCTTACGACTAATCTAATTCTTCCAGACCTAAACAAAATAACACTCTATGAAACTAAAATGATGTTATGATTCATTATCATTAACATGGGGATAGGTCATAAGATACAGCACCACTCCCTTCCATCAAATTTAAATATTTCCACATGTCCTGATATACAAATTTGTATTCATATGCACATTCCCAAACCTTTGTTGATTTGAAAAATAGGAAATGATGATTGTTTGAAAAATGATTTTGATGATCGCCTTCGAAAGGCCACTGTACAAACTGAATCACTTCATACTTATACCAGTTGATAATTCTAGATTCCCAATCCTAAAGAATCCAACCCCTCAACCCCTCTAATCTTAAATATAACGTTGTTAAAATCGTTGTAAATTTGTATTCAGAACGTAGATGAAGTAAGCACCGTTCAATGACTACGCACTAGCGGATGGGTGAAATAGCGTATGTTCTGAATTCTTGTAGATGAAGACCCTGTTGAAACAGACGCCCGTGTCCTGGGCTCTAGCGGTTCATCTGGATCGGCGGGAGGGTCAAGAGCAGAGTCCCGGCCAGACAGGCCGAGGTTCTTCGGCTCCAGAGGCACCAATGCCAGCTATAGTGACGGGGCGAGTGCGGTATCCAGCGGCTCATCAGCTGGTAGAGTAGGGGTTGAAACAGACAGAGTTAGGGACACGATAAGGATACCAGTTGAAGAGGACGATGATCAAACAGAGCCGCCATCCGAGCATCCTCGTCGACACCACCACGGAACGTCTTCGGCATCCTCCGGAGGCGGTCGGCACGGTGCCGAGGAGGAGCCGGAAAATACCGACAGATCTGATGAGAGAAGCACCGATGCTCCAACGGAGAGTGGCCCGGATGTTGGTGGTGCTTTACCAGCTGGTGCTGATGCTGAAACGTCACCAATTGCAAGAGGTGATGAAACGTCATCAGAAGATGCTGAAACGTCATCAGAAGATGCTGAAACGTCACCAGCCGATCCTGATACCGTCATCTCCGGCATTCTAGATACCTGGAGAAACAACGATGATGACTACTATGATTATTAGTGATGAGTCCGGATTAATTATTGCATGTCAATATATAGAAATAAGAGCCTGTCTGTGCCACTCACCAAATAAGCGAGTGTATTTTAGTCGAATTATTATAGTTCCCCCCTTTTTCCCAACATTTATATGCTTTTCCAAATGTTTTTACGGTGTAAAATGAAGCTTGATTCTTCTCTAAGCAAAGTAAAATTTAGTTGACTAAGAAGGATTTCTACCATGTATGTTGGTATACTATGCAAAGCTTTTTTACGTACAAGGTTGAGATGTGTATATAGAAGGCACTTGGACTTTGTTAAGGCCATGTTGATTTGATTATATGGATGACATCCGCGCGCGCATGAATTTTCGGCCGTTTCCACAAAAAAAAAAAGTTTTCAACCATACTGTAAAGAGTGCAAAACAGTTGCTAAATGAGCAAAAAATATACCATAAGTTGCAAGGAAAACATTTAGAAACCAGATACCATTAGATACCAATGTCGTAGAATGCCAAAATCAAAGGAAAAAAGACAAAAATGTAAAGAAATGAATTCGAAGAGTAGATTATTCGCCATAACATATTCTGTGCCATTTGTTCAACCTTCATGACCACGTAGATATCACAGTGAAAGCAACTTTTGTTTTTGCAAAACTTTTTTTATTCGCACGCACGCATCAGTTTTGGGGTTCCCAGAGGATGTCATCCATATAATCAAATCAACATGGCCTAAGTTTACCGAAAATTGAATTGTCTGTTTGACCCAGTGTTACGGTGTAAATTGCCGAAAGCTTTTCATAGCTTTTGAAGATTTTGGGACCAGTGAAATGTACATTTAGGAGACTAGAAATCTTATATTCGTCAGAATACATTCCATATATCCCGACTTTTTCAAATACATGTGTGTTTTTATTGTACCTAGTAGGAAATGCTGTTATCCTTCCCTTTTATCTAGAGGCATGGTATTGTGCCCGGTCATACTGTGCACGCAAATAAAGTCATCAAATAGAAGAACAGCGTGTCACTAATTTTCTGAAAATAATCCCAGTACCAAGAAATTTAATTGAAAAGTATAAGTTTGGCATAAATATTTACATATCTTAGCAATGATATGTCAAATAATTTCTAAGAAATTAACCATCACAACTCAAAAACTCGCTGAGACATGTTATGTAGAGCAGGAGAAAATTTGACTTTGCCGCCAGGAAGTCTACCCGTCGCCCCTTGCGCGTGAAACGAGCCTCGATCTCGTGAGTGCCGCCGTTTCCCAACCACTTACCTCCCTGTTAGTACACACCCCACCCCTGCATAAACACACAAACTAAGAAACAAGTGCTTCTGCAAAAGCTGACCATTTTCGCCGCTTACAGGCTTACAGTTTTTACGAACATTTTCCCCATCCTAGCATTTCAATTTACCTAAGTTATATAAATGGTTCTAGTTCTCATAAACATTGTATATAATGAGAGAACATGCACTTCTATATTTCAACTCTTTAAGTTTAAAACATTACAAAAATCAAGTATATAACAGTTTATAACCTGTTTTCTCTCTTTTAAGAGTCTTTTTAACAGAATAAAAAATGAGACACAAAAGTACATTTTAACTTAAATTATAAGTAACGTTAATATATATATATATAATTTTATTCAAAATCTCTTCTATGGCTTTGTCCCCAACATCTAAGTTTACAAACCTCGTGACATTCAACCAGGGCTTTAGCCAGCGCCCGTTTTACCGTCAATTGACGGTATTTTTTCCCGTCGGACGGTAAAAATTTAAGTCCTTACCGTCAACATTGACGGTCAAAAATCGTGGGTGAAGACATTAAACTTAGCAAAAAATGTAGCGAATTTGAATGAGCCACGGCGCGGGGTCTTTCCAAAGCGCGTCGCGTCTTTTCAAAACGCCGCGGGCCCACACATTTCTTATTTAAATACGGCGGGAAACCTGACTTCAAGGAACGTGCCGATGTCTGTTAACTCGGTTCTTTTCTTCAATGTTGCTGTCTGTTTAAACAACATGTGCTAACGGCCACATAAGAACAATGGCTCGACTCAGACTCACGCTGGTAACTGTACATGACAATAAGATAAATAAACAACATGTGGCAACGAACAAAGAAATATCAAACGTTTTGAAAATATACTGTACTTGAATTTTCATACCATCGCAAGAAAACGGAGATCGATCTACGCAAAGTGGCTTTATTATTTATATAAACTTCGTTAAACCACCTTCGAAGACTTGAGCGGCAGCATAAAGATAAATTTTCTGGAGCCGATCGCTGAAGCAAGTTTTTGCCGGCGTACGTAACTCCCTCCGCGGCAAAATCCCATATGCCGTAGCGAAATCGCGTCTCAGCACTTCCCCAAATCAACTCCATGGCCGCTAAAGTCTGCAAATGAGGTTAAACTTCCTCATTTCGGTTGAGAAGCGAAGCTACTAGTATAAAATCATGTGCATGGCGGCCATTTTGTTTGCTACCCGAAGTCTTCCGAATGATCTAAATAAGGAAATCGTCGGAAATCTGAGCCACATCCCTCGCTGTCGGCATGCGCTCGGGGCTGGCTCGGTGGAAATCGGAGGCTGTGGCGTCAGGACTAGGTTTATTTGCATGGCTCGGGAAGCCGCCGCGGCTTGAATCGCAGCGGGATTTGGGCGCCGGGCGGGTCAAACAAAGGGAATATGAAGTTGTGAGGACCATAGTTTTTTTTTTTTTCTTCAAATTGCAGATTGTGTAATTTTTATCCTGAAATCTTGAAAATCTATCTGCAAATTGCAGACTGAAGACGGGTATTTAGAACACTGAATACATGAAGTGTGCGGGGGGGCATGATGTCGATCACCGGATCATGATTTTTTTTCGCGTTGACCCTGATTCAACCCTAAAATAATACTCGAAGAGAACTTCAAAAGTCATCTTTTACTAATCATATATAATTGTTTACATTATATCATTTGATCAACCTGATCCATTAAAAATTGTCAATGGAAAATACCTTGCCAAACAATGCAATACCTATTTAAGTTAATTAAACACTCACTCATTAATTAATTAATTTCCTAAAATACAAAAGACATGTTGGTGAAAGTTAGGCACCCAGGTAATATCAATAGTTCCACGGACAGCTATGTAGGCCGGAGCTTCTATTGCGTGCGATCTACGTTTGGTCAGAAAATACACCCCCCCCCCAACACACACACACACAAAAACACCGATCCGGGAACGCCTGAAAAGGAGGCTTTTAATAAGCTTTGCCTGCAGCGCCTTGATTGGTCGGACGTGTGACCCTCTGGACTGCCGGCTAATGGAAATCTGAACATCTAGACTAATCCACACTGCTAATGCTCATTGACATAATTTATGCAGTTTATTAAAATCCTTGATTACTGTGATTATAGACATGTCTTTATCAACATTTTTGGCAAATAATAAAATCAAGTTATTGTTCAAGACAAATTAAGTTTGTTTTGTCAGCAGCTTTGTTATGCAACATTAATAGAACTATGATTTTGAAATTAGCAACCATAATGGAAAGTATACAAACGTCCAAGGCATAAATGGTAAAAAGTGCACTCGCAACAACGACATCTAGCGACATGCGGCAACTCAGCATGTCTGCATGGCCGTCGCAACAACGACATCTAGCGACATGCGGTGACTTAGCATGTCTGCATGGCCGTTGAAGGGTGGAACCGTTGATCCATCCATCCAATCTCAATCTCGTCTGAGTTACCATTTTCGCGCATGCGAAAATGGTAAAAAAACAAGTCAGAGACCAAGTCTTGATCAACTCAAGTAACTTACTTTTACAGTACTTTGTACAGCTGCCGTGTTGACGGTGAGAATGTCTGTTTTCAAGAACACGAAGCCTTTTCTTCCACGTCATGTCAGGTGTCCATGTCAACAAAACAAAGGACCGACCGGTTAGACCGGGGACGTACCAGTGTCATGCATGACTGGAATCAGATCGAAAGAATGCCCCAGCAGGAAAAATCATTTCTACGGTAAATACGACGTAGAGAGGTATGTAAAAACGGTCAACTGGTGTGGTTGAACAAGAGTGTAGTTTAATACGAATGTCGGACGACTCGGACCATTACCATCTCGGCCCAGACAACTCGGCCCATCTACCTGGTCAACTCGGCCCATCTCTCTGGTCAACTCGGCCCAATACCGGAGACAGTAATTTAGGCAGAAACACACGCACACACGATGTCAATTTTCGAACAAATCATGGAGGTCAATAAGAAGTTCATTCAACTTATGTAATTCCTTTCTTTTTCCACAGGTATAACGAATAGAACTAGCGCTATACTCCTTAGTCAACAAACGTCACGTTCATCGAATGCTTACACTGAACATGAAGCCTTTTCTTACACGTCTTGTCAGGTGTGTCGACAACAAAGGACAGGTTTGACCGTGGACTTGGTTTGAACAAGGACATTATACACAGAGTGTGTATAATGTCCTTGGTTTGAACAAAACTGTGCCAAAATACACAACCGAACCACACAAGCCATGCAGGTACATGTATGCTTGGAGCACGCGAAACATATGACTTGATATAGATATCTGTATCGAAATATTATAGATATCTGAACGAAACCCAAAAATATTGCAGAACCTTTGATTTACAAATGACAAGGACATTTGTCATGTGTAAATCAACACACTTACAAGCGTAAGTGTCCACTGCAAGCCGACCATACCCCCCCTGTAAATTATCGTACAGTCCATTATGTTGTTAGTCTAGACATCGTGCATGGTGACAAGGGGAATCTAATTTTTCGATTTGTCCCTTTTTTGACGATTGTGTTTTGCCTTGTAATACGGACTACAGCTATGTCGACCTTCAACAGGAGGCGAGCTGCCCCGGTTTTGGTGTCGTTTGTCGCGGGTATGGTGGTTCAAATGTTCCTCAACTCGTATGAAGTCAGCATGTTCGAAGGTTGGCCGGCCATAACGCCATACACCTGTCCGGTGAGGTTTCGGGTGATGGGGAACTGTTCGTGCGTGGATCTGCAGTCTCAGCTGTCCAAGTGCCATCAGACAAAGTTCGTCACGCAGTGAGTATTGATTTGAGTGGACGCATATTGTGTTACTGCCCTAACCAACCTGTTAATAGCTCTTCTAAACTAGCTTCCAGCCGTGTACACGTCGTAAGTGCATGATTTATTAGTATTACAGAGACCTACCCACATGGTACGTAGTAAGGAGGTCACCACTTAAATCTTGTTTGTACGTAGTAAGCGCCCTGTACGATATTGAACAGCAACGTTAGCAAATTGTGGCCAAGAAACACTCAAATGCAAGTGGTTTTCAGTTTCTGGCTGATTCAAATCTGGTTATGTTGATAGGAGGAAGCGAAATTAAATTGCGTTTCATTAATACCCAGGCCCAGGAAAGAAATTTTGTGTTTCTGATTTCCCAACTGACCCTATCAAAAACCCGCCGACCTTACATGTAGCTTTAGGGTGAAATATTTGTCCCTTCTTAACAAGTAAACGTACGGGTGGACGGTGTTCTTGGAGACAGCTAGCCCTTGTTTTGATGGATTTCAGTTTTACATTGTTAAATCAGCATTATAAATTTGTTGGATCTCCTCAGTCGAAATCTACAAAAAGCAGAATCCCTATCTGTCGATCTTATTTTTTTCAAGAATGTAATCGGAAATACAAAGTGCTTTTCTAGGATTCGTAACGTTTTTTCCAAGATCGGCCGCCATTGTAGTAATTGTTGATGTAAGTGGTATAAAAGGCGGCCATCTTGCTCAATGTGTGCAAGAACGTTGAAAGCGTATTACAAACAGGAAGTCACAACCGCACACCTCTGGAGCAAAGAATTTGCCATTTTTGTAGCTTAAGCAAGGTAGAAGATGAAGTCCACTTTGTCGTAGAATGTAGTTTATATAGTAACGATAGAAATAATTTTTTTACATATATTACCAGAACGTTTCCATACTTCCAATCTCTGACTAATTTGGAAAAAATTATCTTTATTATGC